CTACATATACTTGGTTATATTAGGTGGAACATTTGTGCAAAAACAATGCTCTGTTGTAATGTATCAAAATTGAAGCAACAATTCATGAGTGTCGTTTTCCGAAATTCGACATATACGCGGAGTGGTTTTTATGTCACACAATCAATATTTTTAGGTGGCGGGGCTATCGATCGGCGTCATTGTTGACATCTCTCTCTATATCTCTCTCTCTCCAAATATTCGAATACGTGTTTAGCATATTACAGTGATGTCAATATGAAGTTACTTTTAAAATGTGATGACACGTAAAATTAAAACAATATTTAATTTGCTAAATTCTGAAAACGGCAACAAAACACACTCAAAGACATGATTTGGATCGAGGTTAGGTTGAAGAATACAATGTAACTGTTTTCACGAGTACACTCGCAGGTTGACATCACGTGATGAATTGTAATATCTAACAGGTCAAACAAAGACATAACTATGGAAGCGAGAAGTTTGTTTTGAACATGTTTTTTGATAAATTAAGTGTGAGCACACGTTTGTATTCTCCTTTTAATATAACATTATTTTGTTCAATACACAACAATAGTTTTTTTAAGAACAGCCGACAAACATGTGCTGACTATGTATTCAGACGATGAAAAACGCGTGACCCTGATTATCTATGGATATTCTAGAAATCTTCAGGCACCATGCCGTCGATTTTTATTTAGTTTACTTCGAAAAGAGCGCTTTAAATTCACACCCTTACCATGAATACACGGTTAAGATATCGAGGGTTTATATGATGGAAAAAAAAATAAACATTTTATGAAACTTAAATTTACGGCATTTTTTTCTGGCCACTTAAGTCCACCTATTCTTTTTGTACTACGCTCGGCACTTAGATCCATTGAGCAGTGAGGGATCTTTTTCCTGCCAGCACCTACTGCGACAAGGGATCTCGGTTTGAAAGCTTTCATCCGAAGGACCAGTCTCCACCTCCAACAGGGATTCGAACACTGATCGAAAGAAACCTCATAAACATCTGTGTTGTTTATGAAATTACAAATATCACTCAATTTTTCTTAGCTAGAATCTATTTAGCAAAGGATATAGATAATATTTTCCAGTTTATACTTAGAATTAAGGGTGTCTTGTTGTTGGTTTATAAAGAAAATCCTTCTTGTCGTTTCTGCATTCTTGCTTTTTATAGTGCGACTTTAGATTTAGAGATATATTGGCCAATGCATATGACTTCCCGCAAATAATCTCTGCTCTTCTGCAAAAACCTTGTTTTTCTGAGATGAAGCATACTGCTTTTCAACGAATCATACTTGACTTCCCCACCGTCTGTCTTTTTAAGAAATTGTGATACAGAAGTAAACTAAATCAACTCAAGGTATACGACGTGAATTTATTCTTTTTTATTTTTATGTTTTTAAAAACAGTATAAATCCTAAAGGTTAGATATATACATTAAGACTTAATCAATGATCTCGAGCAATCTGAATTTAAGTTCATAAAATATACATTGCATGCACTTATATATCAATAAAATAACATAAAATTGTTTAAGATTAATGAAAGGTATACATGTACATGTACATGTATACTGATTTATTCTAAGGAAAAACATTTTAGAGAGGTTGGTAGTTGAAGTTGCAATTTAATATGCAAAGGGTTATTTAAAAATAAGTCGTGTATCTCAGAGAAGATCATTGGTTATTCCTATGAATGTTAATTTTTTAAGTAGATATATGCGCTCATCTACTTATGATGCACAGTTTATCCTGTGGTAAAATATCTAACTTTTGAAAGAGGCTAGATCTTTCCAGAGAAGTGGTTATTAATACTTTATGTTCCTCTGTTATTATGCAAGACCGAAGCCAAGTCAACTGAGCTAGTTTTTTGATGGATTAAAATTAAAATAACAATAGTAGTGAAAGTGAAAAAATGTCATTTATTGAAGTAAATGACGGAAAACAAAATATAAACATATTATAAGGGGGTCAGACAAGACTAGAACAAACTTTGAAAGAATACAAAAATCTTTGGTAACATATTATGCAATCTGACCCCCTAAAATTACATATATCATAAAGCAGGCACTGATATGCCTGTCATCAAAAAAGGGTGGGTTAAAAGAAACGGTGTAATAAAAACATTAAATTTTGCAAAACACTAGCTTGGCTAGCCTAACATTTTTGATGTAAAGAAAGGCTTGTTAGACTTTTTACTTTTTTTATATAAAAATTATTTATGAAAATAAAACACATTATTTGACAAATGTGAATATTTATTAAACCTATGGTTCCAGTACTTTTCTCACAAACCCTTAGCCTATATTATTATTATTAATTTTATTATTAAAATTAGGATTGTTTACGTCACATGATTTTTTAATCTTAACACACACGCACAGATTGCGTCATCAATAGACTTTAAAAACACATAAAAATTGAATATTTTGAAAGATTAATTAACAAGAAGGTTTCAATCGGAAAAAAATCCCCAGGCTTTAGACAGCACTGAAGGCCAAAGGTTTTTGAGGAGAGTATCGAGTAAGATTCCCACAGCTTGTCAAGATATAAAAAAAACTAGTTGTATAAACTTTATTGTGTTTATTTTTGAATAATGATTGTGTAAAATCTAAAATAATAAATGGATAAATTGTGAACAAAATGTTTATATAACCGTGTTGATTTTAAAGATAACCAGTTCTAATTGTCACGGAGACCGTTACAGATGTTCTCAAACCTCCCTTAATCCCTCATGGAGTTTCATTCTCTGTAAGTTTCCTTGAATAAGGAAGATTCTTCGTATCATCGACGTACTGTAACAACTTATTTTCAAAAATATTCCAAAAACCAATTCACAAAAGGACATTAGTGATATAGCCCTTTAGAGAGTATCAGAATTATGTATATGTAGGTACATCTGATACAAAAATGTTTATGTATCGAGATGTTATGTTAAATGGCAGATTTAACTCGTTTAGAAAAACCAGATGGTCCGCAAAACCAGGGCTAATCATCTGACTTCAGTCAATAGAAAACTAAATCTAATTAATATGATTATAAATTGTCAAAATTGTTTTAAGATTTATTAGATGTATGAAGCATATGGAGATAACGAACAGTATTCACTATCAAATGTCCATAAAGCAATTCAAAATAGCAGCAGAGCAAACACGGACCTCTGAAACATCAGAGGTTGGATCTGGTGCCATGGAGGTGTGAACATCCCCTCCCGACCAGTCACACAATTTCACTTATCATAGATGCTTAAAGATACAATGAAAGTAAGTGGTCATTAAGTAACAGCAGTCTGTGTTTACAGACTATAATTATAGACCCATTTCAAAAGTATGAAGCCTAAACTGTTGAAAATGTAATAGAAAATCTAAAACATCACTACACTCTAAAATTAGTCCTCAAGGGCCACAGTGCATTTAAATAGTTTAAACCACTTCATTTTCAGTACTTTAAAAATACAATCTAATTTTAAAATAATCTCACACTTTGAAACCACTTTAATTGTACAATATAGTTTTGTTATGTTCATTTACACTTTTTTTCACCTGTCCAACATCTCATTTAATTGATATTATTTCTCATTTTTCAGGCGGGCTTTGTTAATTTACAATGATCCTCAATTTTACAAAAACAATTGAGCATTATCAAAAATATTGCTCATTTTTATTGTGAACACTGCCTTCCCCAAAAAACATGAAAAGTACAGCAAACATTCAACAACATTTCTTTCGATGTAATGTATTGACCGTAGGTTGTTTGCTATATAGAAAAATGGAAACTTATTTTATATCATAAATGATCAAATTATAAAACAACAAAGATTTCAATTATTGAACACAGGTACTTGTGGACAGGACCCCCCCCCCCCCCCGATATTCAACCCCGGGGCTTATTGGACATTTTTTTCACAAATTATATTTATTACACTTATTCATCATGTGTACAATATGAAAAAATCCTCAACACCCCAAGATAATCGCTCCTCAAAAAAAATACCCCACTATACATTATGAGAGAGAAAGGTATGCAACTCCCGTTTGTTTACGTTGTACCCCCACTGGTCTTTCTGGGTTTAAAACATGTATTTATTTTATTTCAACCTGAAATGTCGATTCACACCGTCTCTACATATATTTCTGTCATAGTCCATGCTATAGGATTGACTCTGCATCTCGTAAAAATCCCACAGTATCTCCTTAGACAGCATTACAGTCAGAACGTTGAAATTTCCCTTAGTAAAAGCAACGGAAGTGCATAAAGAATGTATGATAACACCCGAGAGGAATTATTACGTCAGGCCAAAACTCTCTCGGACGTTATCCTAATAAGTGAAACATTCTCTATGCACTTCCGTTGCGATTACCTAAGGAAATTTCAACGTTCTGACTGGAATGCTGTTTAATAAGATATTGTGGGATTTTTACGAGATGCAGAGTCAATCCTATAGCATGGACTATGACAGAAATATATGTAGAGACGGTGTGAATCGACATTTCAGGTTGAAATAAAATAAATACATGTTTTAAACCCAGAAAGACCAGTGGGGGTACAACGTAAACAAACGGGAGTTGCATACCTTTCTCTCTTATAATGTATAGTGGGGTATTTTTTTTGAGGAGCGATTATCTTGGGGTTTTGAGGATTTTTTCATATTGTACACATGATGAATAAGTGTAATAAATATAATTTGTGAAAAAAAATGTCCAATAAGCCCCGGGGTTGAATATAGGAAGGGGGGACGGGGGATGTCCTGTCCTGTCCACAAGTACCTGTGTTATTGAATGCAGATATTAATCAAACCATGTGCATGTGAAATGATTCAAACGGGCTTGTCTTCCTTTGTGTTTGTATCGAAATTGTGAATATCCTTGTTAGATTTGTAGTTGCTAGCTAAATCATGAAATAAAAGCAAAGTAAATGCAAACGTACACAAAAAATAATATGACCAAAAATTTAAAAAAAAAAAAAAAAAACACCAACAAAAACAAAATCAAATAAAATTTATCTCGGTGGTGGATCTCGATTTTCAGTAGACTATTTTGGCGGAGTGTATTCGTTAGGTGATGCTAAAGAGGCTGCTACGCCTTGTCCAGTTGGCTGCATCTGACCAAAATTAGCTGGGTATAGTCCTTGTTGATTGGTAGGTTGTATTACTGAAACGTTTTCATGATAATAATAAGATAATATATTATGTTTACATTTTAAGGCTATGACTTTGTGATGATCAGATAAAGAAGAGTTCAAGGGGCCAAACCGCTCATCTGAGCAACTAGCTGGATAAAAGCCAAAATCACTTCAGTATGGTAAAATAAAATATATTGTGAAAGTGTGTTCGAGGGTGGAGGAGAGGGAGTTTAAACAATGCTTTTGAATTAATATGACGCATAATGGCTTAGCTGTTTATTGTTATGATCCACTTTAATGATCTTTTTAAATTGATGATCAATTTTGGCTTTGTGAAGAATTTAAATGATTTTTCCCAAGTAAAATTCTGATACTCCATTTTGGTCCCACTCTGTCCCGGGGGTCATGATTTGGAAAAAAAAACTTGAATCTACACTACTCGAAGATGCAACCATATAATTAGGACCAATCATACGTTGCTGTTCTCAATAAAAAAGAATTTTAAAGATCTTTTTCTATGTAGTCATACTTTGATCATCCATAATGGCCCCACCCTTGCCCCAGGGGTTATTATTTGAACAAACTTGAATCTTCTCTACCAGAGAATGCTTCCAAGCTTATAATTATGACCAATCACCGCTTTGTTGTTTTAGAGAAAACAGATATTTTTCCTATGTATTCCTATGTTAATCTCTGCCCCAACATACCTCAAGGGTTATGATTTGAATATACTTGAATCTTCATTACTAGGGAAGCTTCTCAGGAGTTCATTTTTCCTGACCTAGTGGTTCTTGAGAAGATTTTTTAAAAAACATTCCCTTTGTTTTTCTATTTTTAACTTTGATCCCCCATTGTGGCCCCACCTACACCTAGTGGTCATGATTTGAACGAACTTAAACACACTGGCTTCACTGGCTCACTTGTTCTCGAGATATTTTTTTTAAAGATGCCATTAATTTATCACTAAATCATATCATCTCCTCATTGGAAGAGGGCCTGGCCCTTCATTTGAAGAAAAAAAAACTTGAATCCCCTTCACCTAAGGATATTTTGTGGCAAATAGGGTTGAAATAAACCCAGAGATTCTTAAGAAGAAGATGAAAATATGAAAATTGATCGACAACGACGACAGCAGACGACGGACAAATTTTCATCAGAAAAACTCACGTCGGCCTTCCGCTTGGTTGAGCTAAATACAACTTCTCATTTCATTAATAACAATTAATATTTAAAGAAGCTTTCAAAATTCATACTGTTTTAAATAATTTCAAATCAAATTATTTAACTAGTGCTAATTGTAACGGGGACCGTTACAGATGTTCCCCAAACGCTCCCCAACTCCTTTTTGGTGCCATATTCCCTGGAAGCTTCATTAAATAAGACAAACTCGATGCATTTGAGACTTTAACAACGTATACCCAGAAGTGTACAAAGTTCATTCAAATTTTAGCATTGTTCGCATGCGCATGTGAATGCATGTGCGTAATGAACATATCATCTTGTCTACACAATCTTTATATTTTAATATACTAAATATTAAAGTATTTAATCCAAAAGTATTAAAAAGCTGCGCTCATTCAAGTGTTTTTTGATTTTGCTCATTTCACGTGCACGCACGTGCATACTTGAGCATGGTGACCATACCTTCTAGTAGATGTCCGTTACATCTATCTATGTTCTAAATCCCACCCCGTTTGGTTGAAAACCAAGGGAGTTATAGCTGTTTAAAGTTTCAGCCAATCAGATTGCAGCGCACGTATATGTACGTGTATGCATGTGCATGGTGACCATATTTTCTTGTAGTAGACCAGTATATCTATCTATGTTCCAAATCCCATCCCGTTTGGTTAAAAATAAAAGGAGTTATAGCTATTTACAGTTTCAGCCAATCAGATTGCAGCGCACGTGCATGCACGTGTTTTCATGATAATTGCTATATATCATGTTGTAGGATATTCTAATGCATGGCTGTTTTCAAAATTTCAAAGGATTTCGTCAAAAAACAAGAAAGATATTGAGACTTTAGTTTCAGCCAATCAGAGCAAAGCACACGTGCATGCGCGTGAGATCTTGCTATTTTGACCATGTCATATTGTCTATGCTACCAATATATCCTTATGTTATAAGTTTTAAAGCATTTCATCAAAAATTTAAAAAGTTACGCCTATATCAATTAAATCGGTCATTTCACATGTTGCACGTGCACGCTCTTGCAAGCACGTGCGCGCAAAATGACCTTCGTTCCGCAAATCTACATAATATGTCTACTGACCCTAAAAACATTTCACCTTAGTCGGATGTATAGTTTACGAGATCATTCCCGGACAAAAAAGTACCCAGGAAGAAGAAGAAGAAGAAGAAGAAAAATAATAATAATAAGAAACAGAGTAAAAACAATATGTTCCCCAACTTCGTTTGGGGAACATAATTAATTCATCCAATGATCTGCTATGAACAGGGTTTCATTCTTTCTTTAAAAAATCTTACCTGATTGGTTTTGTATCATAGCTCCTGTAGTTGTATTGGGGTTGTAGATAACAACACCCTGGTTTTGAGTGGGCTTCCTGCATAGAATATATTACAAAACTCGATGAATCCAATCAACGTCGCCAATCCGGCGAGGGCGCCAATTATGATTCCAATGATTGCCCCAGTACTGCGGTAAACATCATAAAAAGGATAGAAAAATAGTTCATTGATGAGATCTAAGTCAAAAACAAAATTTCACCAAAAACAATTACAATATTTACAACAAAATCAGCACTTCTTACCCCAAAGTATATGAGAGCAGGTTGTAGCTGTAGGAATAGCATTTGAAGACACTGGTAAAATAGTTATTGTAACATCCAGCAGACACCTTGGACAAGCCTAGAGGTAAAGGAGGTTTTCAATAAAATTAGTGTTTGTTTTACAAATGATAAAAATAAAACAAGTGTAAGTGTTTAATAAAATTTCCTAAATGCAAAACTTCTGGCTACTCGTAAAAGCCAAATAATTGGCTGAGGCTTGTTTTCATTTTTTCGAAATTATCAATATCAACTAGAACCTAAGGGTTTCATTTTCAATCTCTAATTTACATTTAAGGACAGGATGAGACTGCAAATTTTAGTTAACTGAATGATGGCTGGAAAGGTAATGAGTGATCTATATGCCATGCAGTCGCCTTTCAGTGACAAATCAATCATTTGCAGTAAAAATTCAGTCGCCATTCTTTGAAATTTATATCACATTTTATGCAACTGATCGGCAGAGTTTTTTTTTCCTATATGTAAAGTTTAGGTGTTTGAAAATTCTATTTAGCTTTGTGAAATATACTAGTATTTACATACCGGGGTATTTGATCGACAGGTTTCTTAGGTTTTAAGACTTATTAGAATCACAATTACTTATCTGTTCTATCAAAATGACTAACACATGTACTACAGGTATCATAAACGATTGTTGTTTAGATTTGAAATTCCATGAAAATGTTCTTACCTAGTATCTGAGCGAAGAAGGCAAAGAGAAATGTAAATAGTTTCGACTCCATCGATAGAAAAACAAACTTTTATCGTTGATTTTCAGTTAAAATTTCTCATGACAGTTAACTTCCGTGTTTTTTTTAATGTAAGAGTTAGTATATAGATTTATAGATAACTCAATAGAGAGGGCTATCGTCAAATCTTACTTTCCATGAACTGACTCTGTTGTATGAGATAAGAACTGTTATTTGCGATAAATCAAATCTATAATTTTTTCCATGTATTTCAAATGTTTTTGAAGCCATTCCGCTACCCATGTAGTATCATTTGCATACCACAGCATACCACAGGAGCTGAAAAATAAGAAATGTTGTTAAAAATATTTAAAGCCGCTTTATCCGAAACAGGCACATATTATCTTAAACAATAAAAGTATGTCATTGCATAGATTATATATAAAAATTAATTATAAGATTGATTTAATAGTTTATTACAAACAATCCTTACATGGAAAACGTAGACCAAAAACCTTGTTGACAAACAGCAGTTCCTGACGGTAAGCTAGGATCTGTTTTGAAGTCACCTTTGAAAAAATACTTTTATTGAATATATCTAATTATGAAGAGAATTCAAACCCGAGTGTTTTTTCCATTAGTAGAATCCTAAGTCATGATATATCTTTTAAAAATTAAGAAATTAACTTAATATAATCCATAGTCATTTTTATATTAATATGCATATTTACAGAATAAAAGAAAATAAGATATTTTTAAAGATTTTTTAAAAAGGGAGTTTAGTAACGAGGGCTAGAATATTGCCGTGTACAACTTTGTTGTGGAAAAAATGATCGGGTTTGTTCTTCATGAGTTATACATGTAAGCGATAAATTAAATTTTTCGAAGGTGATTTCACGCAATGTAAACAAAGGATTATTTTTTGTGTGACCTAACAAAAATTATTTTTTTAACTTTTGAATTTTGATATCTTTAAAAAGAAAAAGACTTTGGGAATATAATTTGACAAAAGTTGAAATAATTTATAGACAATTATTTTTCAAAAAGAAAAACGAATATATTTTTTTAGCGATAAGAATAGGACCAAGCGGCTTTAAGTTACATCCTTGAAATACAATGTGCTTTTTAAAAAGTGTACCAAGTCAGTTATTAAATCATACTACTAGCTTGAAAAGCAAGATGTATTATAGTGATCGGGATATCCGTCTATCTGCCTGAGCGCCCGTCTATCTTTCTGAACGTCCGTATGGTATGCTTATAGGTACCCATCTCTTATCTGTTACATGTACCCTCTGTTAGACCACTGATTGAACTTTATTTAAACTTTAACAAAATCTTTGTTATATATTGTCATTGTGCATCTCCTATTTTACTTTTTTTATCGAAAACATATTTCGAGTTTTCAATAGAAAAACATGAACCTTGCAAGTATAACCATATGGGAGTATCAGTGAGCTAATTGTTCACAGTACCTCTAGTCTCATTTGGAGTAGGAGTCCCGCGTGGCGCAGTGGTTAGAGCGTCTGCTCTAGAGTCGCGAAGTAAGGAGTAAATCCTTACATCGCGGGTTATATTCCCACTGCGGGACGTGGAGACCGGTCCTTCGGATGATACCGTATAAACCAAGGTCCCGTGTCGCAATAGGTGCTGGTACGTAAAAGATCCTTCCCTGCTCAATGGCCCTGAGTGTCAAGAATAAGACAGAATTGGGTGCTCTCAACCGGCTTATGGTGACGTTTTCATATGAGTGAAAAATTTTCGAGAGGGACGTTAAACAATATGCAATCAATCAATCATTTAATTGTTACAGAAATTTTAAATACAGCTAAATATGCTTCCATTTGTTCCATTAAAAAAAATTTACTACTCATGGATTTGGTGTTTTACAGAAAAGAGTTAAGCCCACGAATGGTCAAAAAATGCCTCATCTAAAAAATCAATGAAATTTTGATAAAAGATAGTATAGACTTTACGCTTTATGGAACTGTTTTCCTTTTTCTGATATATATTTTACTTTTTCTTTAAGAGATTTTGCAGAATGGCATTGTTTTACTAGAAAATTGTGAACGGAACGTCATAATTGACAAATCGTGACGTAACGTCATATAGGACAATAAAAAATATGTTATTGTAAACATAGAAATGACCTGATAATGGATAATTGACTACCAAGTATGACATTATCAGTTTAATAGAAGTACATGTCCAGTCGTATTTTGTGCGATTCTAACAATACAAGGCCCAATAGCAATGTTTTTGAATGTAAGTTTGGGTTGGGGGTGGAGGAGAAAACCTCCACAAAAAATTAACATGCAGCAACAATCCTCCTGATGAATTGCGTCCGGTCGGTAATACTATGTTTGATTTTACCTCTTTACTAGGAATATTTCTTGCTTCGTATTTGTATATATAAATATATATTTTGTATAGTTAATACATAAAAAGTAAATATGCTAGTAATCACTGGCCCCTGTGACTACACCTCAAAAAGTTCTATTCCGTTAGGGGTGGGTGGCTTCCTCTAACTTTCATTTAATGCAGGAATTTGCCAGTGTTTAACCTTTTTAGCCTTGGGCAGCATCTTATTAAAAATGTACATATCAAAACTATGCAAAAATATTGACCCCCCCCCCCCCCCGCCCTACTCTGTTACGGACAAATATAAAATAAGATAACGGGATTTATTTCCAAATGAGTCATCTATCACCCCATTCATAACAATCATTATTCATCTGTTTAAAGTAATTTTGCGAACTCATGTGCATGCGCGGATCTAGAGGGGGGGGGGTCGGGGGGTACGGGGGGTCCGGACCCCCCTGGAATTTGCAAGGTTATAAATTCATATGCTAAAGCAAGTAAAAAGTGACAATGGACCCCCTCTGGAAAACCCAGACCCAGACCCCCCCCCCTTAACATTGCGGATTTGTGTTAAATTGTAGGTATGTATTATTAGAAGACAACTGCTTACGCCCCCCCCCCCCTCCCCCCCGAATTAGGTTTTTGGCGAGTTTGCGTTTTTAGTTTTTTTTTTTTTTTTTTTTTTTGCTTGTCAAGAAATTTGTTGGTTTGGTTTTTTTTTTGACTTGGGTGGAACCCCCCCCCCCTGGAAAAAATTCCTGGATCCGCGCCTGCATGTGTATGAACTATTTTAAAAATGACTGCAAGAATGCACAAATATCCACCAAACCAATGCACATTTTAAAAAAAAAGACTGGTTGAATTCAATTTGCATGGAATTTTGATTGCAAAAAGATATTCTAGTACGCAGTTCTGCCGAAACATTCGCTATATTGTTAAGAAAATAAACTCTTAGTCATTTTCTACCACATGAAACACCATCATCAACAGATACAAATTCGTTTATAACCATTAGGCCACCATTTTCTACATTAAACCCTCTGAATATTCGTGTAAAAGAATCTGGGACTTGATAGTCATCATCATGGGCGATGTCCCAAGCTACGCTGTTCAGAAATTAACAAAATTAATGTAAAAAAAATTACAAGATCACTAAAACTTGCCAGACATTACCGGACATTAATTAATTTTGCTATACAACACAAATTCATTATTGTGGACTGTTATGATAAAGACATCACTGAGATTACGTATACAACACACCTTTAAGTATGATGAGCTAGAAAATCATTAACTTATAATAAGCCGAAAGTGTTACTTTTCCTATATGTCTCTGTGTTAAGAGGCCTAATAAATATTAATAAAGACAATAGTGGCAATCTAGTGAGTATACAAATATATAATAATGCATTGGCGTCGGAAACAAATTAAAGGTGGATGGGGGGGGGGGGGTAAGTGTAAGTATTTTTTAATACCTTAAAAAAACCTGACAAGCAAAAAAAAAAGGGGGGGGAGAAAAAGTCAATTTCCCAAAGACGAATATCCTATTTCGGGGGAGGGGGGGGGGGTTCGAACTTCAGTACCAATTTTTTTTCCCAAACACTACCATTTTCCTCATTTTTAACCTATACTGCGACGTAAACCTACGAAGCAATTTTCATTGTCTATACTAGGTATATATTTGGAAAAAAGCATAATGAAAACAAAGTTAAGCATACATCTTATTGGAAGACAAAAGCATTAATTTCAATTAAATAAAAAAGAAAAACAATGACTGAATCTGAAATTATCGTTTTTAATTCAACCTTCAAATGCCTTTTAAAAGAAAGAGGGCGTAAAGTACCAGGACAATCTCCCGCTCCGAGACATTATATTTCTCAATTTCCGAAATTCACAGAAAATTTTTATTTTTCTAAAATTATGTTGTCAGTTATGTCATCTTTAACACGTTTGATTCATCTATTTCATTGCATGACTTAATTGATATTGTTTTAAGTTGAAATGCAGTTACGCATATTTACCGGAAAATGGGTATAAATTGTTTTTTATATAAATGGGTCAAGTCTCCATTCCACATTAACGTTTAAAAGATTGAAAAGTAAATGTAAAATCCATTTTACGTTTCAAAAAATTGGAGTCCGAAACCTTTCAATGTAAAAGTGAATATTTATGGAAAGATATTTAATTCAACAACACGATTTATCTAAAGCACTCTTACATACATTGATGACAAAAAGCCCTCGTAGCGTAGTGGTTAACATGTTCAGGTTAAGAGAAAAAACGGGTTCAGTATTATGCCCAACCTTGAGCTTTGGATAGAGTCCGAATCTTGTGAGAGTTTTTCCATACACCTTAAAACAAACCTAAGTGAAAAATGAAATTACATATCGGTAAATTATTTAATAAAATAAAAGAGGCAGATATGTAAAAGATGACTCTGACAATGCAATTATTGAAAAACATCTTATAATGAATTCTTACACTAAGAGTTGAATTTTTTTTTGTCTCAAAGAGGGGATTGTCCTAGCCTTGGACACCCCTACTCTAAAACCATAAAACAGTAAATAATTATGCCCCCATTAAATATTAAACCTTGAATTTGGTGAAAAAAAAGTGTACAGAAAATTAGATATGCACATGCATTTCATCAAAGTCTAGAATAGTACTGTATAAAGTAATTGCATTTTATTTCTCACATGGCAGCTAGATACGTATACTCCTCTCTCCAATCAACAAATACACCCCCCCCCCCATAATACTAAACAATAGATGAACCAAATTATTAAATGCAATATCTCATGGGAATCAGACTGAGTGAAAAATCTTAAGGAAACTTTAATTTTATTTTTGTAAGTTTTCTTTTCAACCAAAGTGTTACTTAACAATCAGTCAGTACTTGGGCGGACTGAACCCCCCACCCCCACCCCCCACCCCAAAAAAGGAAGAAGAAACGGTTTTGTATTCAGGTCGTCCGCCTTGTACCGTCGGAGGGGAGGAAGATGGCTCTGAACTTGACATAGTAATTTTAAGTAAGTGTAAAAGATATATTTGAAGACCAGTTTTTCTGAACTAGGGTGTTTTATGCCTGAATTACTAATGCCAATTTACACTAAAAGATAGATAAATATTGATAAATTGCGGCTTATCTCCTAAACAATATTGTAAGTTTACGTTCTTATTCCTGCTAGTCCTGGAATTTTTTGTGGGTTCGTGGCTGCAACTCCAACCCCCAATATTTCTTCCCAGGACCTTCATAGCTCTAATAATGCCTGAAAAAATAGGATTTGCTTTCCTTGAAGAATTTACCCAAAAGCTATAGCTACATATAATCAGAATGAGTATTAATTTAAAAAAGAAATAAAATTACTGTGTCTTTATTTATTTCATAAAACGTTTTATGTCGTTTCTGGTTTTTAGTGAAAACTTTACTTTCACTTCTCACCTGCTGTAGACGAAATCTTCCTGATGGTAGTTCGAATAGGCTGATATATCATTGTATACAAACATGGTTTAAGGAAAAGCCATGGTTTTAATTAAGGATAAAGATGTACAATTTTACGTATTATAATTATACATGCACGTGCGTGTTGTCCATTTTACTGAGCAATGCCAAACAATAACAATACGTCAATAGCTAATATGACTTTGAATATACACCCAGTATTTGTACACAACTTCAAAATGAATGCTTTTTTAAAAGTTCTGTAGCTTTTATTTAGTATTTTTTTAATGTATTCTTTTCTTTTGCTGATACATGATACATACGTGTTATACGCATAACTTCAAAGAAAAGTCCGAAGATATTTGTTTACCTCTAGTGTGGGATCAACTAATTACAAAAAAAAAAAAATCAAATAGTGGACCTATACACCTACTAAAGTGTAGTGAACAACTAAAAACTCGTAGTATGACACTTTTTTGTGAAAAATGTGTAATATTCTAACAAAATCTATAACCATATAATTTACAAGGGGCAAAAGGGTTAAAACTGAGGAAATTCGGATTTTTGTGGAAATGTTCTTTTTAGGTATGAGCACACTTCTGCCCCACAAAATTTTTTTCATGAATAGAAACCTCTTGATGTTAGTTTTAAACTGAACCCTAAATAAATTTGGGGCAGACCTGTGCTCTATGTAAAATTTGACTATTTAGCCCCCAAAATGTGATAAATCAAGCAAATGCCTGATTTTCTATGATTTGGGGGCTATAGATCTCAGGTATACAAGTATTGAACTCCAAGATTTTTTCCACTTTGATAAACTACAATACCTATGCTATCTTTTAAGCAAAAAATATTTGGCCAAAACTGCAGTTTAAGTTTGACCATTTTACAGGGCATATTTTGACCCTTCGTGGGCCAAGCTCTTTAATTCTATTAAATAAAGATATTTTAGTATATATGTCTATATAAAAATTTATCCCACAACGTGACCCTACCAAGAATTCTGATTTGAGCAATCTTGAAACTACACTTCATGAGGATGCTTAAATATCACCAAGCATGTCATGGTTTTCCTGCTCTACAGAATTGTTAAAGATTTTTCCTATATATTTCTATCTCTAAAGCTTGGATTTCCCATCCTATTCCAACGAATTATGATATAAACTAACTTGATACTATTAATGGCCCAATGGTTCTGCAGATTTTAAAAAGATTTTTTATTAAAAATTCCTATGTAAAAATTTTATCAGCCATTGGGGCCCGTCCTATCCCCGGGGTCATGATTTGAACAAACTTGAATCTACACTACCTGAGGATGCTTCCAAATGAGTTTCATCTTTCCTGGCACAATGGTTCTGGAGAATAAGATTTTTAAAAGATACCATTATTTTTTTATTAATTCATTATTATCCCCCCCCCCTTTGAAGACGGATTGACCCTTCATTTGAACAAACTTGAATTATCTTGACTCAAGGATACTTTGTTGCAATTTTGGTTGAGATTGGCCCAGTGGTTCTTGTGAAGAATATGAAAATATGAAAAGTTTACAACGCCACCATCAACGCCAACAACGACAGATGACGGATACATTGTTATCACAAAAGCTCACTTGAGCCTTCGGCGCAGGTGTTCAATATCTTGTTATTCATATGCAGAATGAAAAGTTGTGATATACATGTATATTTATCATCTTGTGATGTTTATTCGATACATGTTGCCTTGTGATGTGCATTCAACTCATGAATTGGTATGCATATTCTATCATTCTGTCTATCGTCCTGTGATACAACTGTATTGGTACAATGTATGTGCATTGTGGGTTTCCTTGTCATACAAAAACTTCAGAACATGTTCACTGGTAAAAGGATACTTTCTCCGATTTGCGCAAAAGTTTAGGTTATCGACTTAAAATAAAGTTGTACAGTCCCCGAGCCCGGGCTCCCCCTTCTCATAGAGATCTGGTCTGGTTCTACTTTCTACTTTTAAAATAAGGTTATGGAAATGAAGTCAAGTATTACCAAAAATGCAATTATTGCTCATAAATTACAAGATTACAGAACATACATCACAAGATTTCGAACTAACCTATATATCACAAGATTTACATACTATATACATCACAAACATCATAAGATTTTGAATATACGTCAAAAGACTTTGAATATACATAACAATATATTTCAAATACATTACAAGATTATAGAACATATATTTACATCCATTGAATAGTTTTCCTTTATTTTTTATGAAGACCATTGCCATAGATTCATGCATGAACGACACTATGCAAGCCACGTGCACAGATTTCTTGAATAATGGCTGTTCCATCAGTTAAGCATGCAATGACATATTTATCAACAATACAATATTTAACACAAATCATTTAATTTCACTTTGAATGTTTTTTTTTTTCCAACAGATGTTAATACATGTATAAACAAAAAATTGTCTTTCTTTGGATATTATTTCGGGCATTAATGTCGCAGCTATTGCAGAAAAAAATTACATAACCCACTTAAGGGGATGTGGAGATAACGAACATCATTCAATATCAAAGTCCATAAAACAATACAAAATAGGAGCAGAGCAAACAAGGACCTCCGAAACATCAGAGGTAGGATCAGGTGCCATGGATAATTAACATGTTTTTTTTTCCTGCAAGTCATCTTATATGAATGTTTCTCAATGCAGAGGAGTGACAATGGAAAGCTTTGTCCTTTTACAGTGTATATATTATTTTTGCATTGTCAAATGATTTTCATCACTGATATGAATAAGACATCACAACAGTTAATGAAATTTGGAGCATCTTTAAGGAGATTGAATAAGTCAACCTGAAATGGAAAGTAGATATAATTCTACCACGATTATTGAAAACATTAAAGGAAACCGGCAGACATTATTCTCCAATAAATCACGAACGTCATCAAAAAATAATCAGATCAGAAACACGTATCAAATCTGAACAATTCAAATGCATGTTTGGCTGTAGAATGAAATACTTGTTTTGACCGCACCGATGTGTCGTCTTTTGCAATATAAACACTGTAAATCGCATCAAGTTGCTGATGAATGTGGGTTTTTATAGCTACATGTGTAAGCGAGGCTATTCCACGGACCTTCCTACACATTAAACATTGTGATTTTAGCAGTAAAACAGGAACATGATTTTGTTATTGTATATTCATTTTAACTGATCAATACACATTACGAACAAATTTGTAATTTAAAAAGGCTATTTTTAATGTAACGAAAGCTCAAATCGTCTGCATTCTATACACAGGTAAGCAAAAAAATTTTACCTCTGGTGTTAAAAATACAGCGTAATCGAGACATGGTGACCTAATTTGTTTCTCTATAGACATGAGAGAGGAAACGATTATCCGTAGTTTAGCAATTGTAGTTATACATGGTAGAATAGATATAAAGTCCTTGTTGTCGTGAATGATGCAGAATAACCTCTTCCGTCTCGACCTCGGAGGTTATTCTGCAACATTCACGAAAACGCTGACTTTATTTCTTAATTATACAGACCTGCAATAGCATGCAGGGTCTTTTTCCAAAGTCTGGCTCTTAATTTCACTGAATATACAATAGAATGATATTTTTTTTAAGTTCATAATTTCGAAAAATTGAAATACATTGGACAGAAAAAAACCACACGAGACAATAATGAACTATGTATTATATTTCATTTGTATTGAACCATAAAAAGGGATTCCCTGCTATGTAAGTATATATTTGGTAGGGTACCTACATGTAACTACATGTAAAGTTATCTTTGAAATTGCAAATAAAAGATTGGTTGCCATTTTCAAACATGACTTGTGTATCTCTGGAATTTTTCTTAATTTTAAAAGAGTTCTTTATGTTTAGTCTTCACAAAAACATACGTACTTTTAGAAGAAGTTTCAAAATTATTATAATGATTAATATATAATCAGTCACCAAAGTTTATAAATATTATATACATGTTTAAAAAGTATTTCTCTTTGAGGTGTGTTTTAAAACTGCATTTATGAATAATTCAACAATAAATGGAAAACGTTAACAACAATATACAAACATACAGAGAAAAAAAAAAGACTAGTAAAATAAGTGATTGCTGGTCTTTACCAGTTTACACTTTTACACTATTTTTAGAATGTCGATGATGTAACAACCATTTTAGCAACATGTCACTAGTATTTCTGGGTGTGATTTTCATTATCAGTAGCCTGTTGAGGAGGACTGTACTGGGGAGGTGAAGCACCAGAAAATGCTCCATTTTGCACAGGATAAGGTGAGTAAAACCCTTGCTGAGTGTAAGGCTGTGTCGCTGAAACGTTAGGAAAATAGCAAGATGACATCATGACTATATTATTCCTCTTTCAGTCTTAAACTTGGAAAGCATAATTATTTGTATAACTTTGAAAACAAGTTTTAAATTTGTTTTACGTTAAATATTGCTGTTGCAAAGATATTCTTTTTATCCGCACTTACATGTTTGAGTAGTTTGCAACACAGTTGCTCCTGCATTTGTGTTGGGATTGTAATAAAGAACTGCGCCTTGATTTGGTGTTGTTTTTCTGCATACGCATACACACAAACAGACGACAAGTCCAATCAACGTGGCCAATCCAGCGAGGGAGCCAAATATGATACCAAGGATGGCACCAACACTGTGTTTAACATTGATATAAAAATGTTAAAACAAGGTATTTACGATATGTCAATGTAATACATTACCATGAATCTAGTAGTGGAATTATACAATAGTTAACCAAGCACTCCTTTTATTCATGGACTATAGTGAGGATATAACTAGTGCTTACTTCCTAACAAACTTTTTCATACTGTATTAGACAAACCAGGAATTACATGAAGAATCTGTTAAAAGTCTAGGTTACTCATAAACTTTAGGAGAATTGATAACATTTTGTTATTATCTTTGACCTAGAAGCAGGAGAAAATGTCTGAATTTCGAAAAAGAGGTTGGTAATAACAGATATCAGACGATAATTTGTTAAGGAAATGATTTGGGAAATCCAGTCAGGCAATATTTTTGAGACTGTTTAATGAAAATTTATTATATTATATACATGTATATTGAATGTGAAAGAACTCACTAGGCTAAAGTTAAAACAAACGGAGTCAAAATGTAGATAAAAGCAAAAAGTCACTTGACTCAACCACTTAACTGGTGTTCGCCATTGGGTGAAAGGTTGAAAAGGTAAGGTAAAAGTGTTGACCCTCAGCTGATTTCTTTGAAATGGAAACGAGAGGAACAGAAAGTAAAGGGGATTAAGGTTCACAGAAAAAAATGAAATTCTTTTTTTTTTTTAAATTGAAGGATGATATTCAAAATCTGAATTAAAATGCACTAGTATTCCAATTCAAAGAAGGAAACATTTCGGTTCAAATCTTATTGGATTTTTTTATATATTACACATTCTGAGTGTATGCAATTATTTTTTTATAAATGGATATTTTTTACAAGCTTTCAATAGTGTGGCAAGCCCGAAGCAAAATTTTTTCAAGCTCTTTTTAACAAGATTCTAAAAGTGTGAATGATTCGTAATTTAAACTGCTTTATTTTTCATGTACAATGCAATTGTGTCTAAACAGGCCGCATCTTTTATTCATGCCTTCCAAAATCATGTGTTCTATGCACAGATGGATATCTGAATTTAAAACCGAAGAAAAGTTGCAAATTTAAATCTCAAACTGGTGGATACTTGAATATTTTTTATATCCAACAAATGCTGATTGAATAGTAAAATCAAACGTCAAGCATATACATGTAATAGGTTGTGTCCTTGAAATTTTTCAAAACTATTTTCACCACTAAATCTGTAAAAAAAAAAAAAAAATAAAAAGAACGAGATTTATGTCTTACCCCAGTGTATAGGAGTAGTTACGGTAGTAGCTGTAGTAATAATCGTAGTTACTGTAGTCATCGTAACAGTAGTAGTTGGACGTATACGAGTTATAGTAGCAGGAACCAGAAACAGTGGACAAACCTAAACGAAAAATAAAATCATGCATTTTTATTGCATTGAATTTTGTTCTTCAAACTATTTGTATATAAACAAACCATATTACACAGACATTTATTTATAAGAGGGATATTATTATATATTCAAAGTTTTTATTAATAAAACTATACCATTTCTGTACAATTTCTGTATATTTTTAACAATTACTATGGTTATTATAACATTTCCAGCACAATAAAAAACTAAACAACACAAATAAAGGCTAAATATATATGTATCTTTAGCTGATATCTTGGTGAATAAAAAAGGTGAAGAAAACAAACAGAAATCGATCTCAAATAATCTCCTAACAATACAAATGAAGAGAGCATGAAACACAGAGCACTGGAAGTTCCTTAGATGGGATTAAATGCCTAGGAAGAATAAGCGTTCCTTTTCACCAGACATAAGCTTGATAATTAAGCCCTTTTCATAGATCAGGTAGATGCAACAATCCGTAGTCAAAAACATTATCTAAGAGTAATTTTAGAAGTTTTGTACTAGTTAAAGGTAATAGTGTTCATATATCTAAATATGTTGAATCTGTGCCATTTAGTGTACCATGGCTAGATAGATAGGTACAGTTGATTTATAGATTTGCACTTATCTTTGACTCAATTATTCCTCAATTATTCCTATCTTAAATCAAAGTACTCAGAAGTACAGAGAGCCGGGCTCATTTACAGAGTAGAATGGAATATTCTTACATGAATCACGTTAATGTTCTGATGACAAAATTATTTCAAAACTATCGATAAAAATGAAAAGACACTGACAGTGAGTTTTTCAATCCTAATCTAGTACCGCAGCTGAATGTAAACAAACTAGTCTTGTTTACCCCAGACTCTCGTTCTCGAGACTTTGCCCGGGCAAAGTCTCGAGAACGAGAGTCTGGGGTAAACGAGACTATAAACAAACAGGCCAGTCTGGTTCCCTCTCCTGCTTTACCTCGTGTAGAGAACTACGGTAACACTGATTATCAAAAATCCTTACGCTAATGAACTATGTTCTTCGACTTATGAAGTCTTCAAAGTCATTACTACTAATGTTTATTTTATATAGACAAAACGTCGTTTTATTTTTGTTGCTTTATTTAGCGTTTGTATTATCTCAAAAACGGTTGAGAGTAAGAACTATATTTTTGCACGTAACTTTAAAATGGCGACTACTGGGTTAACATCCTGCCTTGAACAGGATCACATAAGCCGACAATTGCTCTTTGAGCAATAAGCCCGGCTAAAAATAGTTGTACCTGTCTTCAAATGAATTTAAGATGGGTATAATGGAATTAAGCCAATCAATACAATGAGAGGTACATGTATAATTATTGATAAATTTAAATATAGGTTAAAAATAGATACACGTACTTATAAAGATAGTTCTGCTATAAATCTAGAAACAGACAGGAAAAAAAAAACAATGCCATTTTGTTAACTGACGCAAATGTAATGCTTTCATATTTAATGGCTATTTTCTTGAAAGATCTTTTGAATATACAGATATTTAATTATTATATTTTTAAAATTCTTTTTAGAAAAGACTTTTCCCTCTCTTTTTAGTATGTTTTGATTTCATGTAACAGTACTTTATTTATGATAGAGAATAACTGCATTTACAGGTATACAGGGTGTCCCAAAACATATGTTACACTTTTAATTACCTATAACTTTATCAAATTAATAGCATTCACAAAGATATTTTGTCAACTAATGTATTACCATACATTTAATCTGAAAAACTTTCGAAAACTTTCTATTTAAGAGTCAGGTAATTATGATGTCCTAATGACGTCATCATATTTTGATATGGAACCTTCATGTGAAGAGCTGGTAGAAATTGTAAAATTTATTATCGGTCTAAAATTGCTACTTTAGTCATTAGTACCATAAGAAAACAACATCTTGTTATGAAAGTCCTCAACAGAATACTAATTTACATGTTTGTGAAGGTATTTGAAGATAAACTGTTAGAATATATGTTTTATTTACAGCTTGGTAAATAAAAACTTAAGGAATTGTGTTCAAACAATTTCAATTCAATGGACGTCATTTGGAACATGTTGCTAAATGACATATGTTATTCTAAAGAAAAATATTGATGATTAATAAGGAAATTGAGGCAACTGTATGCTTCACAGAAAAATTTATAACAATTTTATTATATATTTTAAATTTCATTATTGTAACTTGAGGCATAAAATTTTTATAACGGTTTAAAAGTGTAACATGTGTTTTGGGACACCCTGTATATGGGTCACGAATTTAGCATGTTCAAACTTTTATTATTGGATTTGAAAAACAATAAAAATTTTATTCTACAAATTATACGACAACGAATAACAAATTATAACTAGGTATAATCTCTTTTCATAATTTTTTATTTCTTTTAAATTTTAAAACATCAATTCGATGTTGATTTAAACTTTATACATGTAGGAATCTACCTCAATGTTCCGTATCATCCGTCCTTTTCATGTTTAAGCGATTATGTCGTGTATGCAGTCTTGTAGAAATTCGCAATGCCATATGTTTACAGCTTACCTGTCCAGCATTATAAAGTAAAAATATCTTATGACTTATAAGCCCAGGCACCTGAGGAATGGATTGTGTAACCCGCCCTTCCCTTTTCCAATTAGAAGTTTATAAAAAAAAAAGGGAATTTTATATCAGAATATTGGCTGGAGATTATTTTATTTTCATGTCTAATAGTTCTCAGAAACTAGAAAAGGGGCATTGGTGGGGGGGATACTACATGTAAAAGTACACCGTCCACTCGGCAGGTACAGTGTACCTCTGTAATTAATGGGTCTTCGATTGTGTTGAAAACTCGCAAAACCTTCTGAGCTTAACTCTAAAGGCCCTGTCACACCAAGCTGCGTTCACACAAAAAATGGTCTTACCTAGAATGTTAGCAAAGACAACAGTCAATAGTTTCCAGTCCATGAAGAGAATAGTACGAATTTTTGACTTGTTTTTTGTTAAATTTCCTTGTCACATTTTTACTTCTTGTTTTTAGGTGTGATTCTAAATTTAGATTTTAGAGATAACTCGGGTGTGCAGTGGGATGTATCATTGTTTACCTTGGGTAAACATGGAGGACATTTAAAACTCTTGCACAACTTTCTCTTTTAAATAAATAAATGTACCTGGTACACGTATGTTCATAAAATATGTGAAAGTGGGGAAAAGAGAACTCGTATCAATGCAATTTTTTAACTAATCAAAATCCCGAATTCAATTGCTTGTTAATTGAGGATGTCCGTCAATCTTTTTTGAACAAAAACTGAATTGATTTGAACATATTTTATTGACATAGTCAAAAGGATCGGACACAAGTTCAGTTAATTGCCAAAATAAAAAAAATATATATAATATTATACATATGGTCTACAATATACATTGTATACATCGTAGCAATAGAAAGGAAAAAAAAATAAACACATTCTTTCAATGTACAATAACTCTGAAATTAATCATTAAATTGATAATACATGTAATTCATCTTGTCTGAAATTTAAGAATGTTTTATTTTGAATTCTACGCATCCTAACATGTTTCTAGGTAAATTATATGGGTTTAATTATTGCTACATGTAATGTTGTTGCTACATGTATTTATCAGTTGATGTGTATGAATTCTTTTTTATATTGTGTTGAAGCATGTGAAAACCATCACTTAATTACATGTACTTAGTAGATAATTTACATGTGTCCCAGTCTAATGACAAAAAAGGATATTTTAAAATCAATGTCAAGGAACAATTGCATATTTGTTTTGCTTGTTTTTCAATTTAAATTTATTTACATTTATGATCAATGTTCCGCCGCAACTCAAAACAAAAACATAATTATTAGAAATTACAAAATATTGATACTACATAAATAATCAAGGCATTGGTAAATTGCAAAAGAATGTACATAATTAAATGGTTTATAATAAATTCTCTAAAAAAATGTTTAAAAGACTTATGAAAAATTGATAACATAAACATGATAAATGGTTTTCCAACATATTATATAATAACAATACTTTCATTTTAATCAATACATTGTCCTTCATTGCCTACAAAATATATAAATATAAAATGAAATGTAGACTTTTAAATGAGAATGCGACTAATGAAAGTTTATTGTATTTCTTAAAAAATGCACTTACTCAGTTTTATTTCACAACAAAAGTATTAGATTAAAAACTGTTGTATGTGATTTCAATATCATCAGAGAATTGTCAGAAAAATTATGAAATTCTATATAATATATAGACCCAAAGGTGACCTGGCCTTTGTTGTATATTTTCGTAGGGGAAAATGTGGTATTTTGTGCGTTGGTGTCCCCCTACGATTATCTCTTATGAAATTGAATCCCTTTTTTCCTGAATGATATATATATATATATATATATATATATATATATATATATATATATATATATATATATATATATATATATATATATATATGAAAATGTTATATAAAGTACATGTATGTGGAATATTATGTTATTTATCTATACATATAACTGTATTTTTTCAATGGTTCTATTTTATTGAAGTGTGTACATCTAAATATATGTATATCAAATATTAAATGTACTAATTCTTTCTATCTGATCCAGGGAGCTCCTGGCACCCCAGGTGAAAATATATATATGAGGGCCTCTGTGGAGGTATTACCTCCACTTTTTTTTTAATATTATTGAAAAAAGCATGATAAATAACAAGATAATAAACAGCGGAGATAATCACGAGAATAACAAGATGTGTTTGTAAAACACTGATGTCCCCGTATGGCAACATAGCGAAGATTAAACTTTTCTGCAATGCAAATTAAATATTTTGTTACCAAAGTAAAGTGTTCTCACAAGAAATACAGTTGTGAAGTATGAAAGCCCTAGAACCACCTTTTCAAAAGGTATACCCAAGAATAAGTTTTTGAAAGGTAGGTCTCAACCCCAAGGTCAAAGGTTCTAAGTTGTTGGTTTCTTATGTAAGATCTAATGTCACAAGGTTTACATATGTGAAGTATGGAAGCCCTAGCCCTAACAATTCAAGAAAATTATGGCCAAGGTTTAAGTTTTTAAAAAGTAGGTTAAACTCCAAGGTCACAAGGTCAAATTTGGTGGTAAAGAAAGGTCTTGCCACACATCTGAAATATCAAAGTCAAAGCTCCACCCAGTCAAAAGTAATGGACAATGTTAGTTTTTGCGAACAAACACACAGACAGACGGAAAAACGACATACCCCCGCATCTTCGATTACGGGGACATACATATGAGTGAAACCTTATAAACACTATAGTTGAATGGAGATGTAGCAGCACTATAAGGAAAATGCTAGTTCGGTGGCGAATCTTGATTTTTGGTAGGTGGCAGATTGCGTTGGGGAGGCGGAGCGGTAGAGAACATTTCTAGTTCACCATCAGTCTGCTGATGAACAGGATAAGGTGAGTACACTCTATCCTGATTGTAAGATTGTATTGCTGTAAATTTAAGAAAAAAAAGCTAGATAACTCGTTTAAATCATTTCGTTGCCTTGTTCAAATGTATTTGAATGATCCAGAAAGGATTTATTGCAGTTTCTTTGTTATTTATTTCCAACAAGTGTATGAAACAATTAGTGTAATTTGAAAATAAAAAAATCGATCATATATAGAGGGAAATAGGCTGCTCTGTTTCAATTTATTCCTATTCTATGTTTAGATTTATTGCTAACGATATTACTGTGTTTATATATGTCAACGATCATAGACAGATTGCAAAATTTGTACTGATGGCATGAAATTGTGTAGTTGATAATTAAGTAATACAATGATTACCGTATAAACTCGCCTATATAAGTCGGTATTTTGGGAGCTAAATTTTGTTCCAAAACTCTATGTCCGACTTATAGGCGAGTCATAATGAGACTTTTTTTCTGGACTATGAAATGTAGCATTTTATATATATTTTTGTCGACTATTGAAGAACAAATTCTGGATTACATATAAACAGATACATGTATTCAAAGATGATACATAATTTACAAACATCTTTTTACTTTAATGGTTTTATTATTTTTTTTTATCTCAATCGCGCATTGCTTATTTGTTTAATGATTTAAAATTAAATATTTGCATCATTTCGAGGAAAATTAATTAAAACCAGGTCACAAAATCATTGCATTGATTTAAAATTCTCAGCCGATTCTAGCAAAAAGTTGCACCGACTTAGAAGCGGGTCAATGGCAAATCCCTTCAAAATTACCTCAAAAAATACAACCGACTTATAGGCGGACTGACTTATAGGCGAGTATACATACTACGGTATTTTTATTATAAATTGCACTCACGTGTCTGAACACCAGTTTCATCATTTGCGATCCTTTGATAGAGAAATGCACCCTGATTGGATGTTGTTTTTCTGCATTTTATACACAGACAGATGGTTAGTCCAACCAACGAGGCTAATCCAGCTAAGGAACCATATATGACACCAAGGATTGCTACAGTTCTGTGATCAACATTAATATATCGTTACTGAAGATATGTAATGGATAGGTAAGATATGGAAAAGTAAAATAATAATACATGGATAGAAGCTCGTTTGGAATATTAATTTAGTACATTACGAACCCGATCCCAATTTAAAAAAAAAATAAAAATGCTACAATTCTGTCAAAAATCAATATCTGCAAGCGTTTAGAAAAATGTGCGGCAAACCGATAAGGAGAGACTGACAGACAGACAGACATGGGGACAGTTAGACGGACAGACAGACTCATAGGAAATCAATACACTGTAGTTCCTTTCAGTATCAACAATAGGGGACTAATAACTATATCATAAATCGACGTTTATTATGAAACCTGATAATTATACTAGGTAATGGGTACTATACTTCATCAGATACCGGTACCTTATTTCATTTCTGTGAAGGATAAAAACAGCGAATGAGTACATTTTACTTATAAACTGATTTTTTTTATTTGGGGGAAGGGGGGGTGTATCCGAAGGTTGTTTATTTATTTCGTTACGAAGGATTTCAATAGTCAAGATTTTAGCCTGTATCGTTTTGAAAATGAGCGAGATGTTCCGAGTGCTCTTGAAAAGGAAACTGACCCTCAAAATGTATTTGCATAGATATTAGTAGTTTTGTTCGTTTTGTGGTTTGGGGGTTGAAATATTATACAAATGGAAAAGATTGAATATTGCAACGTTTGCTTTGTCATATTTGGGCATATCCAACAAATAAACAGATGTAGAAATCCAACCAGTGCTAATTATGTAAACACTAATTGTAAATAATATATTTATAATTATTTAGTAATTGGTGAATGGTAATTATTTTTATTCAATATTTTTTTCCTAAGACAACTTTCTCAAGAAACAAAAGTCATATTTCTTACCTCAGTCCATATGAGTACGTGTAGTAATAGTAGTGGATAGTGTAGTGGTAATCGTAGCTGTAACAGTCGTAGGAAGAAGTATTCGAGTTGTAATAGCATGAACCAGACACTGTGGACAAGCCTGGATGGAAATCAAATATGGTTAACTTAGCTCTTTCAATGTAAAAATTTTCTATTAACAATTTCTGTTTAAGAATATATGTAAAATATTGGTTAACGGTCTTCTTATTAACAAGAACCATGCACGGTGGACGAGCTTGGAGGGATTTTTTAAAATTTATTTTCCCTCGGATTGAAATATTCCACATTTAGGAATGAATACAGTTTAAAAGTGAACGTTTTTTGTTCGATTTTAATCCGACTAGAAGCTTTCCCTAAATCTTCTCCACTATGTCTCCATCATTCAGAAGCGTGTCTGTATAGAAAAATCGGCCAATTAACCTGAGAAAAAATTGGGTAGGTATTTAAGGAAAACATCTTTATTTCATTTGAACATTTTTTTTAGAAAGCACGCTGTCATTGATAACTGTAAAATTCACAGTCAGGTCTTTTCTACAGAATTTGTATAGGATATGCATTTTCTCTTACACAGAAGTTATTGAAATGAAGACATAGGCGTCGGAAGCAAATTGAAAGTGGGGGTGGGGAAGGGGGTGGGGGCTAATTGAAAGTTGGGGTCTCAACCATCAAAAAATGGATAACTCCAGTTTTTGAAGCCTAAATAAATAAATACAACGGGGGGCTACCCCCCCCCCCCGGTTCCGACGCCTATGAAAGAACTGGATTTGTTTACTTTTATAGTTATTTTTAGACAGCAAAGCACCCCTTGCAAACTATTGTTCGTTACCATTGGAAGACCAATATCTATTTTTGCCCATTTGTATAAATGTGACAAATAAGAGTTGTTTATCTTTCTATACTGAATAATTATGTGCTCAAAATAACCTACTTAATCCAGAGGAGATAAACTTTAATATATTAGTGGAGTGGATATTTTTAGGGTCCGCTCATAATAAATAATCAAATTGCTTTTCGGAGAGTAATTTCGCAAAGTCATTTCTTTTATTCATATGGAAGTTACAACAGGTAGTTTAAAATTCCAGCCGCCCCACCCCTCCTCCTCCCAATCCATGTAGCCTTTTTTTCAATTCTGAACTTTTCCGGTTTGCTCAATTGATCTTTGTGGCCAATTGGCCTCTTGTCATTGAGATTTTATTTCTGAATAACTTCTATCTTAATTCCATACAACAAATCGTAAACTAACATGTATAGATAGACCCGGTCCCGGTCCGGCTTGCAATTATATCTGATACATACTCTTTTAAGTTCAGGAATCTGACTTAAGGATGTTGTTACCCCCCTTTTCATTCTATTTTTTCAAAGCAAGAACTGTGTTATTTATGTGTGTCTCCGATTGTGAAGATTTCCCGGTAGACCTTAAGTTCTAAATAAATATCAATCTTCTTACCAAGATGCTGAGCAAAGAAAACGGTTAATATTGTCCATTCCATAGTTGTATAAACAAAATCTTCTCTTGGATTTTCTGAATAATTCCGTGTACAGTTTTCACTTCCTTCAATCAGATATCAATGATTTGAAGTTTTTGTTGTAGACATATATCAGATATGCACTGTTGTTTATTATTGTTCACTCTTGGTGAATTTGATAGACATTTTAAACTCTTGTGCAACCTTCCCTATTGAAACAAAATCGTTTAGAACGAAAAATGAATATGGTACATATGCATGTGTGTCAGTTAAAAATGTAAAACAAGGAAAGAAATAAATCAAGTCAAAAATTTAAACGAATCAAATTTCTGCATCCAAGTGCTTGTTAATTTAGGATGTCCGCTCCTCCTTCAATTACTCTAAAATTAATCATATGAATAATAATACCACTTATACGAGTACTGAAAGTACTGAGAGGATTTTGGTTAATTTCATCATTGTTACGAGTTATTTGCAGTTCGGTATCGTCTCATGTTTTCGCTGGTCTATTTAAACATTTTCATAAAAGGCTTAAAGGCATGCACGGAGAATATTTTACCAAACAATAAAAGGTTTTATGTTTATATATATATGAACTGAATTTTCCTGTATAGTACAAATGGGGGGGGGGGTTATGTCTCTAAATGATATACTCAACGATGAAACCATAATTTATTTTTTAGAATTAGCATTTTGTTCAGGGTGCGCTGTCAAAGGCTCAAAGCACAACAAAGCTGTAGAAATTTTGCTTCATAAACCTTAGCACGTCTCCATATCAGTGAAATATTCTGGAGAGGGACGTTAAACAGTATACAATCAATCAATCAAAAACCTTAGAGTAAAAGCACAAATAATCATTCATATCCTTAGACTAGATACGCTGGGTTAAGTCACAAGCGAGGGGCAGTTTATATATATTAATGTAAGAGTCGCACTAGGGTAAGAGTTGCACTAGGGTAAGAAGCTTCAACTACTTTCTCAGGATGTCTTGGTCATATTATTGGTCCTTTTAAAATGAAATTGAAATTCAAAAATTGATCAGAAAATAAATCAACCTGCTAAGATCAAGTTTTCGATAACGTTGGATAGAAAGGACGGCTGCAAAATAAAGTAGGTAAATAAGCATTTTTAAATAAAATATCAAGGATGTTAGTAGTATAAGACGCCTAGATGGCTGGGTCAACTGAGTGCACTTTTGGAGCTGGGGGGGGATAGCTGGGTCAACTGAGTGCAGCTCCTGGGGGGATAGCTGGGTCAAGCGAGTGCAGCCCCTGGAGGGGATAGGTGGGTCAGGCGAGTGCAGTCCTTGGGGGATAGCCAGGTCAATTCATTACATATAATCCCCCTAAATACGGGGTATGTTTACACTGTGTTTACATTATACACTACACGCTGCTGCTACTACTATTCATAACGCTGCTACTACGATTTTGGCAAATACTCAAGAATTTGATTATGACGTCACTCATTCACAGTGATTTTCCGAAAACTGAAAAAAAACAATAACACACAATAGAAACAAGAACACAGATTTTATTCAAGTAAAAAAAATACAACAATTTACTTTTTCT